AAATAAATACAGAATTATAGATACAATTTTATAGATAGAATTACCTATAACCATTTTTTATGAAGAGATCAATTATAGTGATTATTAACTAATTTAGTTTTATATCAAAAAGATATGCAACTGAGAGTTGTAACTATGTGTATCAAAATAAAAGTATTATATCCTAGTATTATTTATTACTTATTTGTTTATTATTACATTTATATACTAATGTGTTATATTTATTACATATTAAATGAAAAAATTGATTTGTCTAAAATATAATAATTAGAGAACTAAATACAAATACAAGAAAATATTTGCTTTTAGATAAATGAAAAATTATTCACAGTTTTTAATTAACAGTTTACTTTTTAATGAATTTACAGATAAAGAAACAAAACTGATTACTCAAATTTATTTGTTATTTGAATTTAATCAACATTAGCAAAATATTATTATATATAGAAACAGTACATTAATATAAAAACTGTACTTACAGGACTAGGCATCTGATCAGGATCAAGTCTTCTTTGAAGCTGTGGTGGTGGTGGAGACTGAGGTACAGGACCACTCATTCTATTAGCAGATGGCATTCCAGGTAATGGAGGGGATCCAATTCCAGACTGATTATACTGAGATTGATAATTTGGAGGAGTTGATCCAGTTGGTGAAATTAATGGCTGATGAATTTGAGATGATACAGGAGGATAATGTTCCTGCAGAGATGACATTTTGGACATTGGTGGATATTGTCCCATTGGCTGAGGTGCAGTCATAGAATACTGCTGCATATTATTCATTGATGGCCCTAATGAACTTGGTGGTGGTGGTAGTGGTGGCAAAGATCCAGGATTTGATTGCATCTTATTAGTAGAATTACTGTAAGGTACAGGTGGTGGTTTTTGACTAAAAGCAGCTGCATTTGTACCAATACCTGATGATACTGATGGTGAATTATTAACTGATGAATTTAATGGAAGGCCATATGATGGACTTGAGAACTGTGTTGTAGGGGGTAATGGAGCTTGATTCTGAAGCACATTAGTTCCTTGATTGAAAGTTGAATGCTGTGATTGAGGAGGAAGAGGTGGTGGTGGAGGAGAAATAAAATCTCTGTTTGATTGAGTATACGTGGGAACTGAAGGAAAAGCTGATGCAGGCATTGGCTGATAGGCACTGCTTGTAGAATTTAAATTTGGCAATGGACCAAAGTTACTTCTCACAGGGGGAACTGAAGGATTACCAAAACTTTGTGAATGTGCAGGTACTTGTGATAATGTCATATTATTGACTTGCTGACACAACTAAAAATAAAAAAATATTTATTGGCATTTTGAAGTATTTCAATATAAGAAAAATGTAATTATATATTTTTCATTTTATTAGGTAAAAATGTTCTTCAAATAACTGTTCAGAAAAAAACTGTTTAATTATAATTATTTACTAAAAATATAATAATAAACATTTTCCTTCCTTTTATCATGGCTATGCATTTGTATATAATCTTTTTTTCTTAATCATTTCACAATTCAATAATCATATACTAGGATATTATTATAAAAAAATAAGACATAAAAAACTGACACACAAACTGGAAATATATATTAAAACAACCACTTCACACCTAAGCGATAATTCCAGCAAACGAACAATAAAAAAGGTTTAATGTTCAAATGTTTTCATTTTTGAACATTAAACCTTTTTTATTGTTCGTTTGCTGGAATTATCGCTTAGGTGGTTGTTTTATAAAAAATAATTTCTGAAAATTAATTTTTTTTGTTTAACATCCTTCTTTAATGCAAAGCAGGTTTGTTTAGTCTATTTCTTTATTTTGCAATAAAACTGAACAAGTATGTTTATTTAATATATGCTATCAAATAGCATACTTAACATATTTTTTGCCATTTTTTGACAGGCAGTATCATGCATTGTTTTTCCTAATATATCACATTTATTTCTATCATTAAATACAAAAAAAAATAAAATTTCTACAGGAATTTTTTTATTAGAATAGAAATGTTTGTTTTCCACAGTTTAGTTAATATTTTGAAAGATTTTGGGGATAGACTCTGATATTGAATATGTTGTATGATCATGCACAAATTGCCTGTTCTAACATTACTTTAATCACATTCTTGAGTTTTAGTTTGATCATCATGTAGACTACATGTATTTCAGTTTTAATGCTAAAACTACACTAATATGATCTTAATTTTATACTTACAGGACATTATTTTTGCTTAAGATATTTTACTCAAAATTCTTTATGATATATCAAGTAATTGTAATTAATTGTAATTTTTTGTCAAATATTTATCTATAACTAAGCCTACTTCTTTGTGAAAGAAATAATAATAAATATATAAATATTTTTTTTTACCAATCTGAAACCGTGTTGTCATTCTTATTTGTTTCTTAAACACTATGTAGTGTAATAACATAGTGTTTAAGAAACACTATGTTATTACACTACATAGTGTTTCTTAAACACTATGTTATTACACTACATAGTGTTTAAGAAACAAATAAGAATGACAACACGGTTTCAGATTGGTAAAAAAAAATATTTATATATTTATTATTATTTCTTTCACAAAGAAGTAGGCTTAGTTATAGATAAATATTTGACAAAAAATTACAATTAATTACAATTACTTGATATATCATAAAGAATTTTGAGTAAAATATCTTAAGCAAAAATAATGTCCTGTAAGTATAAAATTAAGATCATATTAGTGTAGTTTTAGCATTAAAACTGAAATACATGTAGTCTACATGATGATCAAACTAAAACTCAAGAATGTGATTAAAGTAATGTTAGAACAGGCAATTTGTGCATGATCATACAACATATTCAATATCAGAGTCTATCCCCAAAATCTTTCAAAATATTAACTAAACTGTGGAAAACAAACATTTCTATTCTAATAAAAAAATTCCTGTAGAAATTTTATTTTTTTTTGTATTTAATGATAGAAATAAATGTGATATATTAGGAAAAACAATGCATGATACTGCCTGTCAAAAAATGGCAAAAAATATGTTAAGTATGCTATTTGATAGCATATATTAAATAAACATACTTGTTCAGTTTTATTGCAAAATAAAGAAATAGACTAAACAAACCTGCTTTGCATTAAAGAAGGATGTTAAACAAAAAAAATTAATTTTCAGAAATTATTTTTTATAAAACAACCACCTAAGCGATAATTCCAGCAAACGAACAATAAAAAAGGTTTAATGTTCAAAAATTAGAACACAGCTATGTTTGAAAACTATTAGAGATAGAACTGTTTTTTCTATTCTTTGCAATTTTTCCTGATGAGGGCCTCTGAAAGATGGCCAAAAACGTTTGAACATTAAACCTTTTTTATTGTTCGTTTGCTGGAATTATCACTTAGGTGTGAAGTGGTTGTTTTAGTATATATTTCCAGTTTGTGTGTCAGTTTTTTATGTCTTATTTTTTTATAATAATATCCTAGTATATGATTATTNTCAAAAACTATACAATATAACTAATAGTATATTTCCACCGCTAATGCTAACTTATTGACATAGCCTTTTAGCTTGATCTGTTTGCAAATAAAAAAAAGAAAGGCTCTAAAGTTTCTGTAGAAAATTTTTATCCATTAATAATCATAAATCTGAAGTCTGTTAAATTGAGGACCTAATGTATATTAAAATTATTTAAAAGCGTTTACAAATTTGGTTTTGAAATGTTTACAGTTTTGATTGAGTAATTGATAGATAATAAATCTCCATATGTATTAATTTGATAATTGTGTTTTTTGCACTGTTATGAATATTATTAATGTTACAAAAGGAACAAAACAACTAAATTTAAGCAAAAACATTTTTAGAACTTATAAGTTGAAAATTTTTAAAAATACATTTTTAGCTCATATATTTAATATTTAATTCGAAACTTATGCAGTTTTAATTAAAACAGAAATTTTATAAAGGAAATGCATTCAGAATATACAGAAGTTTAGAATTACAAAAATTAACAGAATTTATTTCTTTTATTTAACTGTTTCATTATAATACTGTACTTTATAAACATTCAGTTTACTTCGACATTCTACATTTCTTTGTGTGACATTTTTTGAATTTAAAAAATAATGATGATCTATATTTTTCAGCAATAAATTAAATAAAAAACAAGCATTTTCAACTCTTTAGTAATAATTTTTCAGATAAAAATTTAAAATTGTAAAACAATTGTATACTAGAATGTAGAAGTAATATATCACATCCTTCTTATAAAATACTTACATTTACATTTTATTTTAATGATATGAAACCGTACTTTAAATTTTGTTGCTGCATTGAACACAATAAAGTGCTATAAATTAAGACACTTGGCAGGTTTTCTCATCTTTATTTAGTTGATACGTGTGAAAGTAAAGATGTATCAACTAAATAAAGATGAGAAAATCCGTCAAGTGTCTTAATTTATAGCACTTTATTGTGTTCAAAACAGCAACAAAATTTAAAGTACGGTTTCATATCATTAAAATAAAATGTAAATGTAAGTATTTTATAAGAAGGATGTGATATATTACTTCTACATTCTAGTATACAATTGTTTTACAATTTTAAATTTTTATCTGAAAAATTATTACTAAAGAGTTGAAAATGCTTGTTTTTTATTTAATTTATTGCTGAAAAATATAGATCATCATTATTTTTTAAATTCAAAAAATGTCACACAAAGAAATGTAGAATGTCGAAGTAAACTGAATGTTTATAAAGTACAGTATTATAATGAAACAGTTAAATAAAAGAAATAAATTCTGTTAATTTTTGTAATTCTAAACTTCTGTATATTCTGAATGCATTTCCTTTATAAAATTTCTGTTTTAATTAAAACTGCATAAGTTTCGAATTAAATATTAAATATATGAGCTAAAAATGTATTTTTAAAAATTTTCAACTTATAAGTTCTAAAAATGTTTTTGCTTAAATTTAGTTGTTTTGTTCCTTTTGTAACATTAATAATATTCATAACAGTGCAAAAAACACAATTATCAAATTAATACATATGGAGATTTATTATCTATCAATTACTCAATCAAAACTGTAAACATTTCAAAACCAAATTTGTAAACGCTTTTAAATAATTTTAATATACATTAGGTCCTCAATTTAACAGACTTCAGATTTATGATTATTAATGGATAAAAATTTTCTACAGAAACTTTAGAGCCTTTCTTTTTTTTATTTGCAAACAGATCAAGCTAAAAGGCTATGTCAATAAGTTAGCATTAGCGGTCGAAATATACTATTAGTTATATTGTATAGTTTTTGACGAGAAACAAAATTAAAATAAAGTTTTGTTTTTACAATAAATTTATTTTTATATTTTTAACAAATATTTTATTGGTATATATAAATTACTAAATGTATGGTAATGGTCAAGGAAATTGCATTACCTATGAAATATACCAAAAATTGTTCAGCAGATGTGTAAAGTAGCATATTTAAGCTAAGATTGCAATCTGAAATAATAACAATTTGTTGTATACAGAAGTAACTAATAAAAAGAAAATGAAACTTATTACATATACTGCTATACTAAACTTATGTGTATTTTACATCACAACTTCACCATTCCTGTTAATGGGCTTTGACACAAGAACATACCATTCATAATTATGGAAGCAAAAAGAGTTCACAACATACACCTGAAAAACATAACAATTATATTAATTCTTGTTGAATAGGATTCTAACATTTTGTAGGAACCACCTCAAGCATTAGTTAATAGCTTTGTAGCACTCTGGCATAGAGTAGATGAGTTAGTTTGAGTATTCTATATCAAAATCTTCTAATACACTCCTGTAGTTGTTTAGTTTCATACCAATTCTTTCCAATTTTCATGTCCTTATTATGCCAGCAGTTCTTAATAGGATTGAGATCAGAACTGTTATTTGGCTGCTTAAGTGTCTTATCTTAACCATTTGTAGGAATATTTTTTTATCTAAACAATTTGTCAGTTTAAGTTACAATAATGCTAACAAACTATATAAGAAGAACATATTCTATTTTTCTCACCATCTTAGCTTGGTGACATGACACAAGTTGTCCTAGAAGATTCAGGAATTTGTGTTACAAAATTGTTCCTTGATTGTTGGAATTAGCTTGGCAGATAAGATGTTTTTTGTAACACTTTGTATTCACAAACCCATTTACAAAGTGTCTACATCTTTACTGGATCTCCACACAATAATTAACAACTTATTGACATTAGTGGTTGTTGTTGTTGTAGTCAGTGTGGTCTACATTGATCATCTATCCTGACCTTAAAAATAAAACACCTTCCTCTCAAATTTCACACAAAGCTGATGTTAATCAGTGTAAGTTGAGATAATTTACAGCAAGTTTCTAAAATTTGATGTGTATATTTTTTTAGTTTTTGAATCCAATTACAATCAAATAAACAAAAAAAGAAACTTTCAGAATTCCAAGAGTATTTTATATCATTACAAAGAAGACAAAATGAAGAAATTAAACATATATTCATAGTTTTGGATGTAATGTCGACAGTTTCACAGTTTTAGAATAAAAAATTGCTTGTTTTTATGAGATGTAACTTGTTCTTTTTTTCTTTTTAATACCCTCTAGAAAATGATGTATAACCTCACTTAAACCGGCATGCCGGTATTCCCCTGGGATAAATTGGCATGTTGGTTTTTACTATACAGAAATATCTGATTTCATGGTCTCCTCAGACAGACTGACATGCCAGATAAGCTGTTAAAATATGATAAAAGAATGCTGTTTAACCCAGATAAGCTGATATCTATAAAACTTAATCATCATTAATGGCTTCTTATATTGATGATAGACTTTTAAATCTGTTTCACAAAATTGCACAGTTCACATATTCACTTTTATGCCTGTCTTGCTCTTTCCACTTTACTGAATGTAAAGTGTTCAAAAGAATTAGCAATTCATTGTTGCAGACTGAGATGATTCAGCATCCTATCTTGAACAGTATAGTCTACCCTATGATCTGGTTTTTGTTTCAATATTCATGTCTCCTTTGTGACAAATGAACTATTGTTGATTGATGACAATGCAGATTTTGCACTATTTCACAAGAGGATAAACCTTCAGCATTCAAAACAACAATTATGGACATTTTATGCTGTTAATCATCAAAAACTTTTTATTCATACTTATATATTATAACATTAACACATCCTGTATATTATAAATTCATTATTAACATGCATTTTTAATATATGATACATTTAATTTAATAGGCTTTTGACAATAGCAGATACCCCTTCCGCAATCAATCTGTTAAACTGAAGGCCAACTGTACTGGTTA